CTGGTCTAAAATATAACCTTGATGGCTGAAAGAAATGTTAGTGCAAAGTCAGGGTGGTGAAAATAAATCCTGGAACCAATATAAATGGAAATTTGTGGCAGCTCCTTAGAGGTTTGGAGAGTAATAAACAGGGTGACTTAAAGGAAATGTTCACAGGAGATCCTGATTTCAAAGCATCTTCAGAGGAAGGTTGTAGCTTTGTCCCTAGACTCTGCATTAGTTTCAGGCCTTGGCTCTGGCTCTGGCAGGAAGCCAGCCCACTTCCCCTCCAGATTGCCCTGTCACTATAGTTTTTTTTTTTGTTGTTGTTGTTCTCCCCATTCTTCTCTTCTTCAGGGGGCTTCTGGAAACCTTAAAAATCATCCCCGATATCTTGTCACTGTCCAGTTGTCACTCATTCCTTCTCCTGCCCCCTGGAGTTAAAAAATACATTGTATAGGGGCTGAGGTTGTAGCACAGCGAAGGAACACTCGCCTAGCACGTGAGAGGCCCTGGGTTTGATCCTCAGCAAAACATAAAAGTAAATAAATAAAATAAAGGTATTATGTTCAACTACAACTAAAAAATAAATACTAATTAAAAAATACATTGTACAGCTGTGCGCATTGGCACACACCTGTAATCCAGCCACCTCAGTAGGCTAAGGCAGGAGCACAGTGAGTTCAAAGCCAGCCTCAGCAAAAGTGAGACACTAAGCAACTCAGTGAACCCCGTCTCTAAATAAAATACAAAATAGGGCTTGGGGATGTAGCTCAGTGATTTAGTGCCCCTGAGTTAAATCCCCCGTCCCCCCCCCCCCCCCCCAAAAAAAAAAAAAAACATTGTATAGTTTAAATGTGTCAAGTAAAAAATGTTGGCTTTGAAATACAATTGCATTAGGTTGCATTTTGTATTTTGTTTAGTTTTATTTTGTGTCTGTGTGTGTGTGTGCCAGGGGTTGAACCCAGAGCCACAGCCCCAGGCAATTTTATTTTTTATTTTGAGACAGAGTCTCACTAAGTTGCTTAGGGCCTCACTAAATTGCTGAGACTAGTTTCGAACTTACATTCCTCCTGCCTCAGCCTCCTAAACCACTGGGATTATAGGTGTGTGCCACCGTATTGGGCTTGTTTAATTTTATAATTAAGAGCCAAGACTTGGGAGCCGACATGAACATGAATGATTGTGAGATTTCAAGTAAACTGGTGGCCCTCGGTTCATTGGGGACTACAGTTCTCATCTTCAGTCTGAGGATGGGCAAGCATGCTGCAATGGAAACCAAGGTTAGAAAGAATGCAGTGGTGGTGGTGATGGAGGCAGTGGCTTGTGATGACAGTACTGGCAGCCACAAATTCCCAAAGCAATTGGCAAGAATGCCAAAAAAGTCCCTGGAATAGTAGGACAAGATCTATTTTACAACTTCTCTAAGATGGGGATTTCCAAGGATCTAGTGCTAATGGGAAGTCTTGGCCATACTAGGCAACTAACTCATTCATGCAACCATCATTTACTGAGCAATAAGCTCAGATTCCCAGGGCCAGGACAGGTGGAGACATCAGCAATAAATATTATTATATATAATACTCTCTGTCACAGGACTGAATACTAGGAGGATGAAAGGGAATCCTTGCATCCTGACAATCCAGAAGGGAATTCCACCTTGGGGGGAGTCTTGAGCCAAAGTCCGCTGCTCCCAAAAAGCACACACTTTTCCCACCTAACTCTTCCTTCACATATCATACTTTAAGAACTGGCCTCTCTGGACATAGCCCCCTTTTCCCAGGTCTTGTTGCTTTCTTATACCTGAGCCTAATCCTGGTCTCAAGTCCTTTCCTTGAATCATAGAGATTAAACTCCATAAGTGTTCCCCATTGTCTCCCAGCTCTAATGCCCCCACATACTTTCCACCCAAGCTTTTTTCAAGCTTTGTCAGCTCTTAGCTGAGTCTAGTTCAGTTTGGAGAACATTTTCATTTTGGTTCTTCCAGGCATTAGGCCAAATGACCCCACTCAATGCTGATGAAGACTCACTGACCTAAGCACAGGAAGTTCTGGGAGGTGAAGGACATTTCTGGTAAATCCTTTCTCTTTTGTCCCTGACCCTGGGACAACCTATTGAGTCCATAGTCCAACCCGGAATGTAGAAAGGAGGGAGGAGAACTAGGTGATACTATCTCTAACCAGTTGCAGAACCTAGGTCAAATTACTTTCTGGGCCTGTTTTCTTCTTTATAAAATGATCCTGAAGGCTCCCTTCAATTGTGATTGTTTATGATTCACTGTGATTGTTTAGGATACTATGCACCTGTGTTGGTTTTAGGACAGTCTGGGAAATCTGATGCACTTCTCAAAGTCCTCTCTCATGCCATGTACAGTATAGGAAGTTTACCTTCCAGGGTTAGCTTAGAGGTACAGCTTATTTTAAAAATGAAGCTCTACTTCTGATTCAACAGTAGATCTAAGTGTCTGGTTGGACTTGAATCTGCTCCAAATTTCCAGGAGACAGGAAGCATAATGATGTGTAATTATTTAAGACCTAGACCCTCATTCTTCCAGAGAAGAGCTGAGAACAACCTGCTCACAGAGGTGTGCATAGGGAGAGCATATCAGGGGTTTCACCGATGTTATGTGGAGGGGAGGCCTGGGATTCTACATATGAAACTTTGGGGAAAGAGTAGATGGGGGATTCGGGGAGAGGGGGAGGGAGGTCAGGGAAACTACAAACTACCAAAGGCAGGAACTGAATGTAGGAATCAATGGCGGAAGTAGTGGGTGAAGGGAGAATACAAAGGACACAAACTGCTGATAGTCTTATGCTGGGGAAGGCACTTTGGGATAGTACAACCCCAGCTCATTGTAAATACAGGAGGCAAGTTGTTCCCCTGTCCCAGATGTTCCAGTCCCATACCAGCTCCTGTAGAGTTTTCTTTGGCTCAGGGAAGCATAGGCCTCCCCTGAGCCCTGGCCCCCCTCTACCGCAAAGCAACTGGCTTCCATTACCCCTGACAGCTCCAGAGCAACAGCCGGCCCCGGCCCGTCTGGCTCCATGCCGTTCCCTTTTATGGTGAAGCCGAGAGAAAGCCAGGAGTAGGTGGGGGTGGAGAAGAAGGTTCTAGCTGGGCAGAGGGTTGTAGAGCTAGGCTGCAGCTCCCCTCACAAGAGACCTTGGGCCGTCTACCACAGCTACCTCTCTTTTCTCTGCCCTGAACCCACGATCCCTCTGGCTTGTCCCAGCCCTTCCTCCCCTACCCCCTCCCTCACATCCGGGGGGGTGATTTCCCACTTGGCGGAGGTCCCACAGCTTGGGTTTTGATTCCGGGAGGGTCCGCCCTATTTTCTACGCCCACCTCCAGGAGTGGGGTGGAAGTAGGGACCTGGAGAAGACAGGCTCTGTTCAGATTACAGGCAGATCGGTCTCCTAGGTAGGATGTGGGTCAGAAAGGTTGACAGCAGCAGCCGCATTCCTGTTCCCCTTCTGCACTTCTGCATCGCCTCCCAACCAGTCCCCGCCGCCCAAGCCAGGGAGAGGACCGTGAGAGCAGGACCCAAAGGAAGCACCTGGCTGGGCCGGGCCGGGAAATGAAGGGTGGGCAGCAGTGCGGGGGGCCGGGGCAGGAAAGTGGGCCAGAGCTTGCGGGTCAAGCTAAGTCTCCCGCCCGGCCCCGCAGCCGCACCCTCGCCCTAATACACTCCTCGGCTCCAGGGAGGCGGCCACCACAGCTTTGCTAACCACGAGCCCGACCACCCCAGCTGCGGCCAGCTGTGCCACTAAAGCACGAGGCACGCTTCCGCGGCCCCGCCCACAAGCACAGCTGTCAGTCCCACTGCTGCTCCGCCCCCTGCGCGCGCAGAGGGAGCAGACGAGACCGCGGGGCTAGAGAGGTCGTTCCAGCTCGCAGCCTGGCGGAAGTACCTGCTTGGGCTGCAGCTTACGCTACGGAGTTCCGGTCCAAGCCTCCTACCTCCAGCTGGTACCAAGGCAGCGTCGGAGCGGAGTCGAGCTGGTCAGGTGAGAGGCACGCAGGCGCTGTCTCACGGGCCAGCCCCAAGTTGGCTGGGTCGCGGGGGCCCAGACGTGCCCTAGAGAGCACGAGAAGCGTGCGGACCCGAGGCTCAGTCCCTCCCCTTCTCCGCAGGATGATCACAGACGTTCAGCTCGCCATCTTCGCCAACATGCTGGGCGTGTCGCTATTCTTGCTTGTGGTTCTCTATCACTACGTGGCCGTCAACAATCCCAAGAAGCAGGAATGAAAGTGGCGCTTTCTCCGCCCCAGGTAACGGTCGGGGCTGTAGCGCCCAGCCCCCTGAAAGCTGAGTGGAGAGGACCGCATTAGGGCCTGCAAGGTTCGAAACTTTAAATCCGAAAGTGTCGGGCCAAGCATGAGACAGTCCAGAATTGAGCCCCTTTATCCGCAGAGTACAGTGCTTTGCAGTGCCCTGCTCCTTCCTCCTAAACTTCTCCCTGCGAGGATAGGATAGGATGGGGTGGGGTGGGGGTATATCCCAATCTTCCTCGGTCCCTATCTTCTTGGGTTTTCCAGTAGCAAGTTGCCCAAGTTGGGGGTATTGGAGGCACTGGCAACGGTAGAAGCAAAGGTGCCATGAGGATAAGCGTTCTTAAATAGCCGCCACTTTTCCAGGGTTGTTTAGGCTTCTTATTTAGGTAGAATTTTTTTTTTTTTTTGAGCGGGTGAAAAATGTAGACTTCTATTTCCATATTCTTAAGCCAGAGTCATTGGTTTAGGGGTTGGGTACTGTAGACCCAAGCTAGAAAGAAGAAAGTGGGGGTGGGGAGCTTGGGAACCAACCTTAAGTTTGGGTCAGAGATGTAAAGGGGAACAGGTTTACTGGGAGTTGCCTCCAGGATTCCCAGGGGAAAGCTGCAGCATTTTCCTTACCTCAGGTCTTTCCCCCTCTTTTCTAGGGTTCCAGGACATAGTCTGAGGCAAGATGGAGGGTGTGAGGGGCCTTCACACTTCACTTCATCCCTTCTACCCATCACAACATACAAAGAAACTACACCTGGATTTTTCCAAACAACTTTTATTTCCTCAAAGTCTTCCTTAACCCTATGGAACAAGAAGCTGCCACTGAATAGGGCCCAGTATAGGGGCTGCTTTTCTACTCCCTCCCCTCCCCCCAATACAAAAATATAGATATATATTTTTTGTGGTCCCGAAATCTTGTGCTGTGGAGGGAGGGAAGGGGTACAGGTCCCTGTTTTGTCCCGTCTCAAGGTAATGCTCTGCAAGGCCTCAGATAGTGGCTGGCATTCCAAAGAGTTATGTTGTAACATGGAATCTGCAGCCCAAGGAGGGGACTATCATATTTCTCACTGTGTTCCCCCACTTTGGGACCGTATCCTGGGCATGGAAGTAAAGGCATTATCAAACCCGGGGAGAAACGGTGAGTGGGGGAGATTTAGGGACAAAACAAACCTCAGGCTGGCCCAAGGGCCCCCTGCTGTAACAAATCCGGGATGGGACATCAGATAGAGTACAGGAAATAGGAGAAAAGGCAGGGGCAGAGCGGGGCCGTGGGGGGCCGGCCTGAGGCATCCTGCAACAGAAAAGAGAGAAGAATCAAGGTTATGGTCTGTTAGCCAGAGGCTGGTAGCTTTAAGAGAAGAGAGGCAGGTTGATGGCTGTACAGAGGTCACATGCTGGAACCTGCTAGCTAGCTCCTAGGCCTTAAGACCGTAACTATCAGTTGTTTTCTAGTCCTTTTAAATAAACACTGGGGTCATGATGGAATAAAAATCAGGGACTAGATGCTTAATGAAAGCACATTCAGTCTTTGGGGTTAAAGGGAGTAGGGAAGGATGAAAATGATCTGGAATGGTAGAAATGAAGATGAGGGGATAGAAGAAATGAGGGGAGGGCTGAGAGAACTGGGTCTAGGTGCTCACCCTGGTATAGCAGGACGGGGTCCCGGCTCTGGCTCACTGCTTTCTCTGGTCCTGGAGATAGGGGATGTGGGGCCTGAAGAGCCTCTTATCCCTCTGCAAGTCGGCGGTGAGCCCCGGCCCAACCTGGGCCTAGCCTGTGTAGACAGGATTAGGCTAAGAGGCTGGGTTCTTCCATGAGCTTTTCTGCTTCTAGGTTTGCCTCTTGAGTTTCCATGCATAAGAGTCTAGTATAGGAGTCAACAGAGGTAGTAGAGCCTTGAATTCCTGGGCATTGTTTCTAGTTGAGAGGATGAGGCAAGATAACAGAACTCCTAGCTTCAGTCCATGACTATGTACTTCAAGTCTTACGTAACTAGCACAAAGGTGGCAGAAGGACCTAGCATTTAGCCTTCATGGGTATACCATGGCCAAGGCCTGCCTGAGTAGAAAAGCACTGTGTAGAAATATGAGGGACTGGTAGACCTCCTTCAGGTCCTTCTAGGCCTCAGCCCCTGCCAGAGCAGCTTAAGCTTCACCCATCCAGTCAGCTTCTGCCTGTACCCAACTTTAGCTAAACTAATATGGGGATCTGGACTGACTTGGAAGTGGTGGCAAGGCTGTTCCTAGGAGCAGCAACCAAATGTGTTACCTGGGGAATCCGGGACCCCTCCTGGCGGAAACTCTCCTCGGGCAGGTCTGGGCAGAAAGAGAGGAGAAGCTAAGGGCACGGGCAGGGAAAGCCAAAGCTAGCAGGCTGAGGTTGGGGTGCATCTGGCAGGGACAGTGGGGTTGGAAGCAAGCAAGACACCTGGCTGATGGGGATTGGGGTGGGGCCGGGCAGATAAGCACTCAGGCACCAGAGCAGCTGTATGATATGGCTGGAAGTAGAGGCTGTAAAGCAGGGCTGAGCATTTTCCCTCCCACTGCCCCAATGAACAGTGCCTTGATGGGTTCTGCCAGACTTCTTATGATGGGGACCAGAGAAAATGTTACCTGCAATCGAGTCCTGATGCAGGGGATCCGAGCGCCAGCCCCTAGCAGACCTTTCCCAATCACCATGACAGCCTCTGGCTTGTCCCCTGAAGATAAGAGTGAGCAGCTGCTCCCTAAAGAACAGAGGAAACTGATCATCAAGGTAGGGGCTATAAAGAAAGGAGGTAATTTCCTTTAGATCAGTTTCTCAACTTTGGCAGTGTGTGTGTGTGTGTGTGTGTGTACATACGTGTGTGTACACGCGCGCTTTTAGTGCTGGGGATTGAACCTAGGACTTTGTGCATGCTAAGGTAGAACTCTACTGCTGAGCTGTACCCCCAGCTCCCAATCTTCCACTATTGACATTTTGTGTTGGGTAATCCTTTGTTGTAGGAGCTCTTTTGCACATTGTAGGATGATGAGCAGCGTCTGCTATATGCAGTTTCCTCCCCAGGCTGCCTCCATTGTTACAACCAAAAAAGTCTCCATATGTTGCTGGGCAAGATCACCCTTGAGTGAAGCTTCACTCTGGTCCAAGAGGGAGAGCAGAGAACTTTTGACTAGAAGTAGAATCTACTCAAATTTAAGTACTATATAAATTTATAGACCTTGGGGCCACTCCAATCATATATTTAGGCATTTGAGGATCAAGTCCACTCTATCCAAGACCTGGATTGAGGGCTACCCATTGAATTGACAGGTTGGGAGTAGTGGCTCGGGGTAAGGCAGAAATCAATCCCATCCAGTCCTTTACACATCTGGGTCTATAGCTTAAAAGGAGAGTAGATGGCTTAAGTTTTCTGTGGATGATAGGACACTGCAGTGATGACAGGTGAAAGGCCTATGCTTTTTTTCTTCTCCAATTTTGTCTTAATGTTGCCCAGCTTCTGGAATCGGGGAACTTGGGTAAGTGGCACTTTGCAGGTAGGAAAAGTCCTCAGGTTCCTCAACTATAAAAATGAGGATTAAATTAGATAGTGTGTATAGCAGTGCCTGGCACAATGTAAACATTCAATAAATGTTATTTTATTTTACAAAGACGACATTTCAGTAAGTCCCAGCCTCCTGTAGAGATTTAGGGTACCAGGAGGATAACTGGTGCTCTTGGCTGGAGTGCCTTGTATTATATCAGGTCAAGGGAGCCCAAGTTAGGTGGCAGTGTGGCTGAAGGAATTTCTTCAAGCTTAACTGGGTGCCTGGTCTAAACTCTGGGTGGTAGGGAAGGGAAGAAGCTGGCCAATCCAGATTTCAGTGGCAGTGGGTACAGACCTGATAGACTGAGTGAATTGGGCAGGAGGCAGGAGCCCAGGTTGCGTGAGGAGGCTGGGCCAGTACTAGCAGGAGTTGGGGATGGGGCCAGGCTGCTTGCAGGAGGTCGATGGTTCAGTGGCTGTTGCCTCCGTCTCCTGTCCTGGCTTCGGGGCTCTGAGTGGAAAGGACACAAGCAGGTTAGTCACGCACTATTAGCTAGCCTTCACTGACCTGCTGGCTCCCCTTGGTCAGAATTTGTGTTTGTAAGCTTGTCATCAGACCAGCACCCTTCTTCAGAAGTAACTATACAATGGGTAGAAAGACCTCTAGAATTTATTTTCAGTTATTCATTTCTTGGTCTTCATCTTACCAATTCATTCTTTTGGCAGGAAATTATTGAATTTGACTTCTAAAACTACTTTCCTAGGTTCTCCTCTTACCTCTAACTGCTCCTCTTCAATTGATCTTCCTGCCTCTTAAATGTCCATGTTCCCTACCATTCTGTCCTTAGGTCTCTCTTGTTCTACTTACTCTTATATTCCCAAATTTCTTTCTAGCTCTTTCTCCTGAAATCCAGCTGTACTTGTCCACTGGACATTTCTACCTGGAAGTCCCCTATGACCAAACCAAAACAGTTTCTCCCTCCCTCCCTCATTCTTCTTATCTTGGTGAAAAACCTAGAAACCCTGTTTTATCTTTCTACTCCTCCTTTACATTTAGGTTTGTATTTAGTCAAATCCTGATAGTTCTACCTCTGCATTCATCTGAATTCCTCCTTTCTTCTCCCTTACCATTGTCTAGATACATACAGATCTTTAATTTCCACTCAAATTTTATTTCCCTATTGGTTTCCTCAGCTTGAATATCTTTCTTTTTACCATCCGTCCTTCACATAGGTACCACAAATTACTTTTCTAAAACAGAGACCTGGTCAGAAATCACTGTGGCTTAGCCAAGGGGAAGTACTGAATGTCTTTTAAAGGATAAAGTCTAAACCTTTTTACATGGCCCATTCAAAACTCTGCCCAGTGTTGTTCCAATCCACATATCCTTCGTACAATGCTGACCATCTGATCTCTTATACCCTTTGCTATAGCTCCTGCTGCTACTATTTGTGTAGTTCCTCTAGAATTTCTTTCCCTTTCTAGTGAAACCGACCATCTTCCCTGTCCCATCTCAAATATTGTCTCTGTGAGGCTCCTTGACAATTAGAGAGTTAAAACTAATTGTTCATTGTCCTTTGTTCAATGGCTAGTTGTTGTTCATGGATTCATCATCGCTTGGAGTTTAAAAAATACATTTATACTCTGGGGCAACCCTTCCTAAGGCTGGATCCTTACTGCTATCTGTTCTGAAGGGTAAGGTCCCAGTGGGACAGATGGAGAATGGATGGAGTAGGAGGCTTGCAGATTCAGTAGGTACTTCCTCATCACAGAGGGAAAACTGGTGCCAAATACTTTTTTTTTTTTTTTGTAGTAATGGAGGTTGAACCCAGGGCCTGGCGCATGTTAGGCAAGCATTTCACCACTGAGCCATATCTCCAGCCTCCCAGGCCCCCAGTACTCTTGAACTTCCAGAACCAAGTTTGGTGAGTTACCAGCATGCCAGTGCCCTAACACGTGTTGGGTGTGAAAAGCCTCTGATATAGGAAGTAGGCGACCTCAGCTTCATCTTGTCTAGCTGCAGTAAGCAATAGTAACAGGCAGTATCATGAATACTTCTGAAAGTTTTCCAGATTAAAAAAAGAAGAAGGGCTGGGGTTGTGTGGCTCAGCGGTAGAGCACTTACCTAGAGTGTGTGAGGCCCTAGGTTTGATTCTCAGCACTACACAAAAACAAATAAAATGAAGTTACTGTGTCCAACTACAACTAAAAAATAAATAGAAGAATTTAAAAAAAGCACAAAGATCTCAGAATGGAAATCATTCTAGCTATGTGAAGTTGTGCTGAGGCACTAGGTGCCAATTAAGATTCAAGGTGCGTACTCATATAAGAGTCAAAAACAACCAGACCTTAGAGGCCTGTTTGAGAGTTGGTACAGAGTTACCAACATAACAACAGAAGCCAGAGAGACTTAGCTACAGTCAAATAACCTGAAACATTAGCCACCACCAATGACTTAAGAGATACTCTAAGGCCAAGACTTGGGTAATGCTGTGATTAAAACGAACATCAGAATAATGTAGGTGTGTAGGTGTCAGTGCATAGTAGGCAGAAATAATGAAGTTGATTGAGGAAATCACAGATTTGTAGACAATCTGAGAAATATCTATACAGAAAGGCATGCTGAAACCACGTTAAGGGATGAACTCTCCCCCTTTCTTGGGGTGGGATGAGAGACTTCGGGACATTATTGGTTATAGTAATAAACTGGACGACACTTAAGAAGTCGTGAAGCAAAATAGGCAAATGATGTAAAAATTGCCAATGCAAAATGGAGAAGGGATCATAGGAAAGATATTAAGGTTGTAACTCAGGAATTCCACCCCAATCAGGGTTTTAGAATGGGGACAAGGTCTGATTTAGGGGAAAGGCTTGCTCTGAAAGTATAAGGTATTTAAAGGTAGCATTTCAACCAATCTTCTCTTAAAAGACTGCCTCAAGACCTGGCCAGGATTGCCTATAATTTGTTAGCGCACACAGTTTCTAGTGTTTTGACTCTTGGCCCCTACTGTAATCTAGGCCTACTTAGTCCCTGTTGAGACAAAAAGGAAATGGAGGAGCCCCAATTCTATATGTTTTGGTTCTATAGAACAGCAGCTTAAGGCTGAATGCAAGAGTGATATATGATCAGCTGTGTGTCCAGAGGTTATAAGATATTTTATGGAATCAGCCAGAGGTTCCATGTTGGGGTGGCAAGACAGTCCAAGGGCTAAGGTCTGAGGGTTCAGCCAAACTGATCTCACCTTGTGAAAGTTAAAATGGATGTTCTAAAGTCTCAATTTAGAATAGGAGTTAGTTGACTTGTGCCTATACCCTGTTTCATCTCTGCAAAAATCTTTAGAACTGTCCCCCATGGAATACCCCAGATCTTATTAAATCCCTGGGATGATCACAGGCCTGGGTTTTGCTCTCAATTAAAGTTTTTATTCATTCAAAAAATATTTGCCTTCTACCTAATAAAGAGCTAGGCACAGTGCCAGATGCTAAATAGATGTGTTGGGAGACATTTCTTGATACTATAATTTACAGTGGTAAACGTAGAAGTGGCAATGGCAATGTAGGCACTAAGTCCTGTTGACTCCAGGGAACCTCTACTCACTGCTGGACATTAGCTGCTCTACCAAAAATTGCCTATCAGCTGAGCAAAGGCATTAGAGATCAGCAAAGAGTTCTGGTAACCTCAGGTTTAAATGACAGGTGGGAGGGATAAGAGCAATGGTGGTAGTGACATCTGAAGGCTCCTGCTTTTATACTTTAGCACCTTGTCTTGTCATACCAGCATTCTGCTGGGTAGGCTGGGGAGCCAGGAAGGAAGTTCCAAATTGTTGAATGAGACTATTGCTGGAACTCCGGGCTAGGACTAGAATAAAACAAGTGAAGCACCTAGAATGCAAAAGTGAAGAAGGCACCTGCACAGCCCTGAGAGTGAGTACCTGGGTGTCATAGGTATCTCACCTGCCTCCCCCTAGTCTTTGCCCTACTTTAATTCATATTTAATGGATATAAGGAAAAAAATGTTTTACCTCCCCCAACCCAACCCCAGCAGGCCCTTCTTTAGCTCTGTACCTGCTTTTGCAAGTTATCTTGAAGGCTTTTGATTTCTCTCAATTCATCACTGCATTAGCTATTCTCCAGTGACAACTACTTCCCCTACATCAACACAGCAATCTGAGAAGGTGGTACTTCAGAACATGTTTTGCGGCTAGGGAGAACTAAGTAGAGAAGATTCTGGCACAAAAGTCAGAGGATGCTCGTAGCTAATGTTTACTGAACTTACAACCTTCTGTTCCAAGGCTATTCCTGTTTGCCCCAAGTTGGCTACTAGTTGGCTTTCTAAAATATTATCTCCCAGCCTCCAGACAGGACCTGTCAAACTAGTGCCCTGAATCTCTGCCTTAAGCTCCTGGTTGAGCTGCCTTGATCTTTTCTGAGATTCACTGGATAGCCCAATCTTGTACTTGTTTTAGCCAATAAGGATAGTGAATTAAATGTACAGTTAAATATATTTTTCTTGAGGTACTGGAGATTGAACCCAGAGCCTCATGCATACTAGGGAGGTGTTCTACCATTTAGCTACATACCAAAGCCCTTTTATTTTGAGACAGTGTCTTGCTAAGTTTCCCAGACTGTCCTGGACTTTGCAATCCTCCTGCCCCAACCTCCAAATAGCTGGGATTATAGGCATGTGCCACTGCATCTGGCTGAGTGACATAATTTTTATGTGGAAATTTTCTTATAAATTCACATGTCAAAAAAAAATCCTTTTCCAAATCAATTCTAATTTAGGGTTGAAAGTGTAGCTCATTTATAGTTAAGATTTCTAAGATATGGGGGTTATGATCTTTCTAGATGGGAAAACAAAATATAGCTAAATGTGGCAGAGGCCAAAATACCAGATGTTTGGAGCAGAAGTGTCACAAAGTGACAGGACAAAGAAGTTTTCCCAAGAGTTGGTTGAAGATACCATGTCCAAATGGCATATCAGAATGTGGCCCCTATCCCAGACTAGGGTCAGTCTTCCATCTTGCATGCTTAAAAGATAAAGCAGCAAAAATCACAGTACCAGCAAATGTCCATTGGAACAGAGTCAAAATTCCTGGGATCTCACCTTTCAACTCCTTACAGTATCCCTGTTTGGTATTATTAGTAACTTATCTTGATTCTTTGATTGTATAGTTTCCTAATTCTTAGAAATATTTGTGCAAGTCCCTGGGGTGTCTCTGTACTGGTACTCTTTCTACTTCTAAGCTCATTCCCTGGGGAAACATGCCTTCTCCCTTGATTTTTACGTGGCACCTATATGTGGATCACTCCTAGACCTTCAACCCCTTTGGCTCACCTTTTCTTCAGTCCTTTTCTGCCTGCAGGGCATGTATGTGTATGTGTGTGTGTGTGTGTGTATATATCTATCTCCTAAGGCATCCAAGCAAATCTGAATTAGATCACTTATCACCCCACCACTACCAAAACAATGTCTTAAATGCCACCCTTACTTCTTCCTTTAGCATGTATCCTTGAAAGCCTCATAGTTCCTCTCTACCCAGGAGTACTGTTCCTGATCCTGACTGTCATTTCTCATTTTTGGAATGTTTTTATCAAACCATCTACTACTTGTTCTTCAAAACTATTTCTTAACTGAACATTCTTTGGTTAATTACTCGTGTTAATCTACCACAGTAGCTCTAAATGTCCTGGATGTTTATGATGTGAGTATGCTTTTATGTTGTATTTATTGTCCTGTTTGCTCTGTTAAGTTCCAAGTCAATCAGCTAGGAATTATTTAGTACTGATGCTGCATATTTTCCATTAGTTATCTGGTGAAATATCAGAGAAATAGAATACACATCCCTCACCCTCATGGAGCTCAAAAGTGTTTTGCATTGGGAGGGGAACTCGGAGGATGTCAATAGAAAACTGACTAAACACTGCCTAGAATCCTCCAGTGACAACCTAAAAAAGGCCTTTTCTCTTTGTGGTCAGAGGATAATTTATGATGCTGATGAAGTAATACCCAGGAACCCTGAGTTATGAGCTAGGGAAGGCTGACCAAAAAAGAAAGGAAAAGAAAACAGAAGAAAAATTTCATCCAGATTTAACATGGGAAATTAGTTACAATGGAGCATGCAAATGTATCAGCTGGAATAACTCTGCCACTTAATAGCCCTGCAATCTTGGACACTCTTCAACAGCCTAAGTTTCCTTATCAGAAAAATGGAAACATCACCCATCCCACAGATCCTCATGAGAACTTCATGAAATTATATGAAAAACTCTTGTTTTCTATTAAATACAGTTTAAACATAAGATATCAATATTAGTTTAATACTCTTTCAAATACAGTATGCAAAGTAGTCTGTACCAATGAAGACAGAATCTCAAAGAACATAATATAAACTGGATGAGATTGAATATCAGAATTCATTTTTGGGGGGCCACTGGGGATCAAACTCAGGGACACTTTACCACTGAACCATATCCCTAGCCCCCCGCCCCCCTTTTTAAACTTGGAGACGGTCTTGCTAAGTTCCTTAGGGCTTCACCAGGTTGCTGAGGCCGAACTCGAACTTGCAATTCTCCTGCCTCAGCCTCCCAAGTGGCTAGGATTATAAAAGTGTGTCACCACAACTGGCTCAAGAATAGAATACTATAATGGTCAAAACTGGTAAAGGCCATTGCTATTATAATGGTCAAAACTGGTAAAGGCCATTGCTCCCTCTAGCTTCTCTGCAGTCAGATTTACAGCCACTGACCCAGTGCATATCACATCTGTTCAAAAGCTAGGTTGCAAACTGAGAGCAAGGATATGCTAAATAAGGATGGGTGTAGGTAGAAGATCACCAAAGCACTTCATTCCAGCTTACAGGCCTCCATATTTAGCCAACTTCTGTAACCCTGATGGCACATACAATACTCATATGATATATAGCGTTATTTGGGGGAAGTTGCCCTATTACAATCTCTCCCCCTTCACAATCCAGCTTACTTCCAGTTACCTTCTCTTTTTCTCTGTGTAATTTTCTGTGGAAAAATACACAGGAAAAAAAGAATCTTTCAGGCAAAACCGAGTGGTAATGATGCAGTTGAGCATTGTGACCACTGATAGAAAGGGCTAGATACTTGATTTGTGAGCCTAGAACAGAAGCTTCTGTAGTTTGTTCCATTTTTCTTTGAAAGAGTTGGAATCCTTATATCACTTTCTGAATAAGCTCTGAAGCCAGGACAATTTCAACCCATAAAGACCACGACAGGATCTTCCATCTTTATAGTGCTGCAATTTGGATTCTAAGGACATTCTTCTGTACTGCTCCCAAGAAAATACAATGATATTGTCTTTGATGTGGAGCCTCAATGTCTGTGTTTGGCACTGTTTCAACTAGTGTTTTGTCCTTGGAAACTTCCCCAGCTCCTAACGTGCTGAAGCCCAGATCCCCAGGTTTCCCCGTGGCCACATGTAACATCCTCTGGAGTCATGCCGCAGGGAACACGAAGGTCGCAGGAGAGGTTGTAGATTCTGCTACAGGCTAATTTTATTGATTCACCCCTTGGTCCTGGGCCAAGTGTATGTCTTCAAGCTCTCATTTTCCCCAGCAATGTCCCAAACAACCGAACACCTGCTGCAGGGGCTCCCAGACTGGCTTACCTCTGACAGGACCCAGCACCCGGTGGTTGACCTTTTGGGTGCTAGAGCCCAGGCCTGGCAGCCCTGCAGGCCGACTGCCATGAAAAGGAAAGCTGGGGGAGTTCTTCATCTGTGGAGAATTCTGTTGGCTGCTGCTGCTACCACCAGCACTTGTGCCAGTGCTAAAACTTCGTGCCCGGCTCAAGGTGTTTTCAGAGCAGGAAATGGGCAATACACTGCAAAGAAGCATATGCCAATCAACTCTGGGCCAGGCTTTCTCAGGGCTTTCCCCAGGGTCTGATGTTCAGTAAAACTTTCACCTTGGGGTAAAAGAACTCATTTAAAGGAAGAAGGGAGGAATTCATCTCCATAGATGAGGTATTTAACCTGGGGCATACCAGCTAATAGCAGGGCTGTCCTGAGCAGCTTTATCTCCCAATGGATTCCCCCTACAGCCCTGGAACTGGCCCTTCCACTTCCTTCAATCAATCATTCACCACTTTTGAAAGTTTAGAGCAAAGTTCTATAATAGGGAGTCCCTTGGCCTGATTTTCAGGTCTCTTAGAAGTATGTAGCTCCTGGTGAAAGGGAAGTGGATCCCATCTCAAAAAAAAATGATCTTGCTAATTCTAATTTACCCAGAAAATTCTCAGCATGTGGTACTTTTAGAAAGAGGGAAGGAATACAAATCCCATGGAACTCCTAGGTCTAAAGCCTTGCCCACTCTCCTGCCCTCTCCCTGCCATGCTGCTTGTCTTACTTGTTACTTTTGGGTGGAGTTCGAGAGCCTCTCTTCTTGCTGATGCCCATGTTCACAGTGCTGCTGAGGCCTCGGGTGTTTCGTACATGCTTTAGCATCCAGGCCCGTAGGTTAGTGAGGCTGCTGTGCTCTGACAGCACAATTCGTGGCCATGGATTACATTCTGCCATGTCCAGAGCTGCAATGGCCATAGCTCGTCCCACCTGTGGGGGATTCCAGTTTCGCTTAGCATCTTGGACCCCTAATCCAGGCTGCTATGTGGGGTGGGTTACATAGCACAAAGGAAGGGAAGAAGAGGCCACTGGGTACCCTAAATTTTGTGCCTAGATGTTCCCTAACCATTAACTATTTTAGGACACTCATCCATTTTAATAATAAAGGGAGATACTAGGGATTCAACCCAGGTTCACTAAGCTACATCCCCAATCCTTTTTATTTTTTATTTTGAGACAGGGTCTCACTCATTTGCTGAGACTGGCCTCAAACTTGCCATCCTCCTGCCTCAGCCTCAGTCACTATGATTATGGGCATGTGCTACCACATCTAATTCCATAATTAATTAATTAATTTTGGTACTTGGGATTGAATCCAGGGTACTTTACCACTGAGCTATATCCCCAGTCCTTTATTTTTTTAAATTTTGAGACAGGGCCTTAATTTATAAATTGCTGAGACTGGCCTGGAACTTGAGATCGTCCCACCCCAGCCTCCCAAATTGCTGGGATTACATGTGTATGCAACCACACCTACTGGGACCTCATTTATTATGGCAGGGGCAGATGTGCTTTCTGGCTCACATAAAGGATTCTATTAGAAGGTGTTAGAATTTCTTTTCTAACCTGAAGCTCTTTCTACTCCCTTTGAATGCCCTAGAATAAGTAGTCACTAAGATCATAATAGTGGGGGTACTTTTGAGCCCAGGAGTAAATAAACCTTCCAACAGAATGAGAAAGATCAACTCAGAGGTAAAGAATCTGACTCAGATGTGCTAGAGGATTCTCTGTTCATCCTCTCAATACCCTTACAGTCTATAGGAGCCATGCTCCTATTAACACAGTGGTGAGATGATTACAGCAATGAACATCTCTGTAGAGGACCTTAGAGTCAGGTAACAAGAGGGAAGGTCTTTCCAGGTTTGAGGTTCCCCTTTCCCACTTATGCCAAGGATTCATACCTGCTCAAATAGTTCCACAGTGTATCTGGAAGGGAAAGCTGGCGGGGGAGGAGGGCTGGCACGCCCATTGTCATGGCAGGCAGCAGGGATGCTGTTTACTGAGCGTCCAGTGTTGTAGTTGCATTCAAGTGTGTAGCTAAGACACAAAGACCTTTATCAGTGTCCTGCCTGAATGGATATCATGACAACTACAGGGGCCAGCCCTGTGGTCTAAGAAGATAATTACTTGGAAAAAAGTGAACACAAGTAGAAGGTGCTAACAACCCCTAGCAACTAGCTATTTACCTTGGCACCACACTATGTACCCAGTAAATCCCAGAAAAGGAGAGTCCTAGACTAAAATAATCCTGCTGATTGTAAGGCTCTCTTTTGAAAAGACTTGGATAGTCCTGGCCCCCTCAGGCCCTAAGCTGCCTATTATTTTCTTCATTTTGCTGCACTGGGACTGAACCCAGAGCACTAGGCATGCTAGGCAAATGCTCTAGAGCAAAGTTCTATAATAGGGAGTATTTTCTTTAGGGAAGCTATCTCCTCAACTAAATACCAGTTTCCACCCAACCTGTGGATTATCCCTGAGGCTTTGTAGATTGCAACACGACCGCTTCCCTCTTTGGATTGGCCATCTCTACGGTCTCGAGCGTACATATTTTTCTCTGAGAAATTGCAGCCCTGGAAGTCAAAGTGGGCTGAATTCAAGGAGATGAGCTTTGGATATAGCATGTTTTCCACCTGTTGAGGGGAGAAAAATGTTCTTAGAAAGAGAGACAAAAAGAAGGGACAAGGGGCAAAGGAGAGATGGCAAGATATGGCCATGTGACTCATACACAGCAGATATTACTATAACCCTAAAACCGTCAGTAGCAATTAACATTTTTAAAATTTTCAATGTTTGACATTATTTCTAGGTGTTAAGAAGATATAATTCTATCACTTTTAAGTTCTAAGTTTCTTTTCTCCAATAATGCAAAATTTTCCTTTTCTCTTGGTTCCCCAAACTCTTAAGACTATGATGCTGACAGCATGAACCTCACTCAAAGGCATGATTTAATGGGATTTAATGATACAAGGCCCCGATGCTTATTCTTCTTGGCTCTTTGAAGTTCATATAGAGGCAGTCTGTACAGTACTTCCTGTCAGGCTATGTTCCCTCTCTGTGGCCTAGCCTTTATTTTATAACTACAATGATTCCCACATTCACATGACATCCTTAGGACTCCTACCTGGGTGCTCTCATCACTAAAGCTGTTTCCGTACATGAAGCAGCCCCTTTTGGAAGCATGTCCGTGCAGGTCCACATAGTAAGCAACACCACTCTCTTTGGGGGGAATTGTGTCAGGGGCTGGTGCCTCAAGTTCAGTAGACTGTTCTGGCATAATCCACTCACTGTTGGCCTTCTGTTCCACTGGCTCTGCCTGGATCCAGGTCTCAGGGTTATCACTGTCAGATAACTGTCCAAGGCGACTTTCATTATGGAGATTGTTGGCTTTCTCAAGATCAGAAAGAGGAGCATCACAAGGGAGGCGGGGACTGGGCTCGTGTTCAGAGGAACTCTGGGAGTTCAGACGAGAGTGCACATGGTGGTAAAGAAGCACAGCTTTAGCCCCAAAGATGGCCGGGTGCAGGACAGCATCAGGCTTCAGGTACTGACGGTTCAGATTCACTCCCCGTGAATCAGTGCTGTAGGAAAACAGGGACTGAAGCAAGGTCTAGAGGCCTGAGCCAGTGGATGACAAGGAGACTAAGAGATTGACTTATCAAAGAGAGGCTGAAATTGTGCTAGGAAAGAATTACAGACAGGACCCCTCACTGACCTGATGTCAACCTAAGATACCAGAGAAACCTAAGGATAGCTCCCTCCACCCAGATAGGCCTGCACCTATCCTAGTTTTGCTCCTTCCTAGGAATGCCACTAGATGAAATTCCCCTCTCAGGTCTCTGGAACATCAGATGGGCCTGCCCTTGTTAAGGCGCAAGAGGATTGGGAATACAGGAGAAGCTAGAAGGTAGCAATCTTTCACTGAGGAAAAAATGGCATATAGGAGGACTGGGAGCAATCCAGAAAGGATGGGGAGACTACTTACCGGTAGTGGCCCCGGACCACACCATCAGGATTCAACATGGGAATCAGCTTAAATACAAAAAGGCGGCGTAGGGTTTGGGCCCGGGGGTCATCGGGTCGAAGGATGAAGTCCAAAAAGCCATTGAAGACAAAGCTAGATGGAGTCTCCCCAGGGTGTACTCTGCTGCTTAAGAAGAAGATCTGAGGTGGAGAGGAGAGCAGACAGTTACACTATGGTTCCACTGACACACATCAGGAAGGAGTGGATGAGGCAGAAAAAGCCACTGGACTGCCAGCTGCCTGGGTCTGCAAGTGAAGCAGCAGCTGTCACCCTTGCCTTAGGCTATAGGCTGAGCTAGGTCCAGGATGCCTAGAGAAAACAGCTTTAAGCTAGTCACAGTGTCTGGAGCTACAAAAAGGGCAAAGAACTGCCTTTATGCTCTCCCCACTCACCCTCTTGCCTGTAAAACGGAATGGTCGGGGGGTGCTGGTATCAGGAAACAGCTGCTCTAGGCGGGGCTCTCGATCTTCTCGAAGCCCATGGCAGGAAGTGATTGTTAACAGATCTACACGAAGTCCATCCAGAGAATAGCAAAGGAGCTCCCGGTGGTAATAGATGGTATCCAGGGGGCTGCAGGAATAAAAATAATTATTCCAGAAGTTCCAAAAGATCTAGCAAGAGGTGGGCCTCATCACCAGCCCAGATTTGTAAAATCTGGTCCTTCATCCTAACCTCTTGGCCTCATAGTCCTTTCCTTCACACTAGGATTTGGGTGGGTTTAGCATTGCTAGGATGCAGACTACAGGACAGTGAGTTTATTGGTTTTTTCCCCAGTTAATGTCTCCTTAAAATAGAATACTTTGTGTAGACAGAGACAGTTGCCCTCTGGGGGAACAGATGAGCAATGGTAGTGCTGGTTAAATCACAGATAATTGATAATTGAGCACTAGGATAGTAAGAGACTTGAACTGGCAGGAAGGAGTGGACTAGATGGGATATACTGAAGTCAATATCACAAGGAAACACATTTTTCAAAGGTGTCCAAAGTCCCACATTCTGTACAGAGAAAAGACTGATGAAGTTTTGTTGCAGAGATTTTAGGGTAAATTCCAGAAATAGCAGAGGTGCAGATATAGGATGGTGTAGCAGGAGTAAGAATGGGGTTGGCACCTGTTATGGGTAGGGTGGTTCTCCAGAAAGCGCTGGTCTAGTTGGTTTAACAAATCCTGGCAGTCACTGTAGGAGAAGGGGTAGCAGAAGGCGAAGAAGGTGGTGGCCCCACGGCCCTCCACAAAACGGTGAACAAAGGATAACACAAACTGTGTCTCTGTCATCTGAGGAGCAGAGAAAGAAGAGGGAGGAGCAACATGCCATTTGTGTCAGAACTGAGCTCCTGTTGGGGCACTAGGAACTGACCTTACACTCTTTTCACCTCTACCAACTTCCTTCCCTCCCTCTGATACTTTCCATTAAGACAACCAGCTCCATGGGGCTTCCAAAGGCAGGGGCTCACCTTAGCAGTGTAAGGAAAGCTGACACAGTAACCTGGGGTCTCGGGCTGGGGCTATAGCTCAGTGGCAGAGTGTTTGCCTTGCATGTGTGAGGCACTGAGTTTGATCCTTAGCACCACATAAAAAATAAATAAAATAAAGGCGTGCTGTCCATCTACATCTACAAAATAAAATTAAAAAAAAAAAAAAAAAGTAACCTGGGGTCCCACCTGCCTACTACTCTCTACCAAGAGCGAATTTATTGTTTACTTTCCTCTACTAGCACCCAAGTCCTCTTTCTTCTTCATGGAGAACTTACTTCAAAGGTTGGCCGGTCTCGAATGCGTTCCCAGCGTGGCCGGTAGGGCAGTGTGCGCACAAAGGGGGCCATACCCTGGGAATAAAGTTTGCTTTGCTTGTTCATGTTCATAATGTTGATCTTGATGAGTTTCCCTGGAGTTCCTCCCCGGACACTGAAGTAAAACCATGACCTGAGGGCCAGAGGAGAGAGAGGTCATTATATTTGGGAGGTTGGAGACAGGACATGGTGGGAGCCCTGGAACACACCAAACTGGGAAATGGCTATTTAGCAAGGAGGGGAAGAGGTGAGGAGGGGCTGGAAGAGGAAGGGTATGAACAAGTAAGTCAAATGGCCTCCAACTGAAGCATGGATTTGGGTACCTGAACATGCCTTTTCTCCTTCCACCCTCCGATTCTTTCCTCATACCTGTTCCCGTTCTCAAATTCGGTTTCAGCACAGTCTGGTCGGGTCCACACGTTGAACTCGTAGTCAGGGGAAGAAGCAATGCTAACTGTGGGGGCCGATGCCCCTCCTCCTACTCCTACTCCTTCCCCATCACTAGACACAGATTCCACCTTTTCCACATGGGCTAGGTTCCCTGAATCAAAGCGAGAACTGAACAGCAATCCCCCACAGCGCAGCTCCATGGTGGGGCTGGGAAAGCATCCTCTTGCCCCACTCTGGCCCTGAGAGCTGGGGAAAAGAGGGTTGGGGTAGGAAGGGAGAACAAAAATTAAACAAGATTTTTTGGGTATCTCTGGATAAGTGAGAGCTGTTCTTAGGGAGTGTCCTGTGAAGCAAAATGCTCGCTCATTAAAAAATGTGAATGTGACCTTCCAGCAAGACCAAGAGAAAAACAATACTCTATCGCACGCTAAGGGTTATGACTGACTTAAAGGGATCCCATTTTGCTATAATGCCCTGTTTTCAAATCAAATAAATACGCAATGGCTAAAGTGTTGAGACTAGAGCAAAGCTTTTTTTGCAGTCCAAAGAGTAGAGACTGAGAAATCAGATTTCCCAAAACTAGCCATTACACACTTCCCCACAGCACATGGCCATCTTTAGAGATGGCCATTCTGGACCTATTCCAGGAGAACCAAAACTCTTATGTTTGAATGTCTGGCTCCCTCCCTTTGCTCCTGTGTCCTCACAAGTACCGACCAGAATTCTGCTGTTGCTTTCCTGGGCCCTGAAGGGCTGGTTCGTCCCTTTTTTCTTTTCTTTTCTTTTTTTCTTTTTGCTCCTACTCTATGCCTATTATGGACGAAAACTATAAAAGCGTGGTCTGTGCCAAGCCAAAGGAAACTGGGCAGATGCCACCTGCTCACCTAGAGCCCTCAGCTCAGCTCCAGTTAAGGCACGGGTCTGTTTCCATTTCTTGCCCTGTAGACACTGGAACCCCTGCAAAAGCTACCCTGGTAGTTGTGGGTCAGTAACGGGTGTCCTAAACACTGCAAAAAAAGCTGGGCTGGTAGAGTCATACCTGGGGGCAAGGGGTGGCTTCGCGACCCCCGAACTCGGGAGGTCCCTCACAATGTCGGGCTTGCCCTGTTTGGAGAAACTGGGAAGGGTTGAGACAGACACACTGGAGGGGGTGGGAAGGCACGGCCTAGGGGTCAGAGGTGAGGCTACAGAGGGCAGGAGGCTGAGGACGGCCACCCGGCAGCTGGGCAGGCAGGGGCGGGGTCGCCTGTCCCGGCCAGGCCGGGGGCGGGGTGGCCTTCGAGAGGGGCTCGGGCTGGAGGGGCTGCGAGAAGGGGGCGGGGCCGCAATGCACGCAGAGCCCCTCACCTCTCTCCGGGCCGGTGCTCCCGCTCCCTCTCCCGCTAGCGAGGCGGCACCTCGGGCCCCGGCACCCGGGTCCTCCACCCAGGACCCAAACAAAACCCGAGTGCCGCGGTGCCGGGACCCCGCACTGCCAGGAAACAAGAAGTCTCTCGCCTATTGGCCGCGGCTGCAGCTGGCTACCCGCCCAGTAAAGCGCACTGCCATTGGTCAGCAAGCAGGGTTCCGCGCACGTTAGCGGGTACCTGCACCAGTGCCGTTTGGGGGCTCTGGCGGACAGGCGCGGCCAGGATTCCAGCCAAGTCTCTGTAGGCGGTTAACGGCCTGTCTCCCAGAGGCGGGAAAGATAAAAGTGACCGAGCAGGAGTCGGGAAAAGACTCACTGCGAATAAAAGGGAACCATATGGAGCCGATCACCGCTTAGCGTGCCCCTCATTATACTGTATATTAAAACACCCACCCAGGTTCTGCCGATCTCCCCGCCAGCCAGTGTAAAGAGCAGAAAGAAAAAACTTTTAGTGGAGGATGCGGGCATCGATCCCGCTACCTCTCGCATGCTAAGCGAGCGCTCTACCATTTGAGCTAATCCCCCAGCTGCTGCTGTCTGCTTTCCTTTTGCCTTACAGGTTGTTTCGAGCGTCCAGTGACCAATGGATAGATCAACTGCAGTTAGGGATATTTATTTAACAATGGGAGCGGGGGCAAACTTTTGAAAATAAGGCATATAATAATCATACATAAAGAATAAAGTTCTACTTTGAGGCACACGTCGATATTAATTAGTATGTGACGCTTAACCGAGCTGTACTGTACACCAACACTGCCGGTCTTACCCGATATCCGAAGTACCAAACCGAAGTCATTGCCGACCTTGGAAGCCATATGTAATAGAACTAAATTGGGGTTAAAAAAAATGACACGAAGTCCTTCGAGCCGGAATCGAACCAGCGACCTAAGGATTGCCACAGGATTTCCACTACAGTCCTCCGCTCTACCAACTGAGCTATCGAAGGCCCCGCTGCTCAGGAGGCCTGCAGGTTCCCTTCTAATAGCTACCGAGGCTATATTCTTTCAATGAGCCTGTTCCCCACCCCGATTTTCAGCCAAAGCAACCCGCCGGGACTGGAGTTTCTCCGGGTTCCACAGATCCGGAGATGGGTAAGAACGCTGCCCCAAACTCCAGTTCCTAACCCAAGGCGAAAGAAACCTAGGAAATGTGCTTCACTGACGTTTCCCTGCTTTTTACAGAATGTTGCGCCCTGTGGCACTGCCTACAGATCGCAAACGCGTAGACAGCCGTAACACGGTTGAGTTTCTGGGCTGCGTTTCTCCATCTTGTGGGCGCACGGGCTCCAAGTCGCGACGCGCAAATCCACTGCGTAAAGCCGATGTATCGTATTTGCTTCTCTAGTTCCACAGTTTCCTTCATTTTTCGGGGTCCCAGCAAAATGCATACTTTACTGATGCGAAGACATCCATCCTCTCAATCATCTAACTTTTTGTCGGAATCGATTCGTCCTGAACAGAACAAAAAAGGCTGTCCAGGCTGTGCCGAATCCCCTGGGCCCTGGCGGCCCTGCCGGCGGGGATTCGGGTGGGGCTGATGCGCCACCCACCCCGCAGCAGCTGCAAGCGTGGCGAGGGCAGCGAGCTGGATATCCCGCACTTCCAGCCCTCGGAAGTGCTCACAAGCAGGGAGGATTCTTCTGCCGCAACCCCAGAGACCCACTTTAGGTCGGGGACGGGACGGTCCTACAGCGCCCGGCTCGGGGCATTGGTCGCCCTTATGGGTTTATGCACAGGTCCTCTTGCCCTTGGGGAATCGCGTTTCCGCTGGGCCTGGGACTCCCCAGCCCCCGAGGGTGTAGGTATCTTTTGTGGGATACCTACCTCTACCGCCACCCGGTTCACACTTGCTGATTTTTCTTTGGCCTGCAGTGCCAGCCCTCAAGCCTTGGCTCATCGAAAGCTATCGGATTATTAAAACACAGAAACCAACCCCGGCTCCTTTGTGAAAGCCTTGCTTCGTAGACTGTCACTGGGGTGAGTGTGCCGGGAGACCTGGCCTCCGGCTCCCGCCAAAGGCCAAACTGCCTGTGCTACCTTGAGCAAAGGTAAATCCAGGCCCTGGCAAATCCAGGTCAGGCAGTAGTTTTAGGTTAACTTCAGTCTGCTGCTGAGAACAATTAACCATTTTAAAGTGAGCAATTCTGTGTCATTTAGTGCAATCACCATGCTGTGCAAATATCACCGCTCTCTAGTTTCAAAACTTTTTAACCACCTCTGAATACATCCCCTACTGATATCGCTGGTTATCGGTGAAGAGTCCTGCTTCAAAATACCTTTAACGACATAAGAAAATATCAATATATTTCTGTTTACTTCTCTAGGATACATCTTAGGCATGGAATTGCTTGGTCAAATAGTATGAGACTTTTCAGACTTCTGATAAAGATTGCCAAATCACTTCCCAGGAACATACCAAATTCTATCATAGAATTCACTGAGTATATTATCAGTTGAAAAAAAATCATTATTAATATGATGGGCAAAAGTAAGTGGCATCTTATATTTGTACTTCTTGACTAATGAAGAGGGACTGTTTTCAAGTCCTTGTTCTTTTTCATTTATTTTATGAATTATATCTTTTATTCATATCTTCATCATGTTTAATGCTTTTCCTACTGGTTTGTAGAAGTTTGTTTAAAACATTAAAGATGTGGTGGGGCGGGGGAGGCACACTCATACACTGCTGGTGGGACTGCAAATTGGTGCAGCCAATTTGGAAAGCAGTATGAAGATTTCTTGGAAAATTGGGAATGGAACCACCATTTGACCCAGCTATCCCTCTCCTCCATCTATACCCAAAGGACTTAAAAACAGCATACTACAGGGACAGAGCCACATCAATGTTTATAGTAGCACAATTCACAATAGTTAAACTGTGGAACCAACCTAGATGCCCTTCAAAAGATGAATGGATAAAAAAAAATGTGGCTTATATACATAATGGAATATTACTCAGCAATAAAAGAGAATAAAATTATGGCATTTGTAGGTAAATGGATGGAGTTAGAGAAGATAATGCTAAGTGAAGTTAGCCAATCCCAAAAAACCAAATGCCAAATGTTTTCTTTGATATAAGGAGGATGATTCATAGTGGGATAGGGAGAGGAAGCATGGGAGAAATAGATGAACCTAGATAGGGCAGAGGGGTGGGAGGGGAAGGGAAGGGACATGGGGTTATTTATGATGGTGGATTATGATGATCATTATTATCTAAAGTACAGGTATGAAGGCATGAATTGATATAAATATACTATGTATACAACCAGAAATATGAAAAATTGTGCTCTATATGTGTAATAAGAATTATTACACATATGTAATGCATTCTGCTGTCACGTATAAATATAAAACATTAAATATGTATGTCATATATTTGTTACAAGTATTTTTCATTAGTTTGTTGTTTTTAAATTTTTTACCTATTATGCTTTGAATTATATACACATTTAAAAATTTTTGTAAAGTGACACTCATTTCATGATATTTTACCATTGCTTTAAAATTTAGAAAATTCTTTTCCAAGTGAAGGTTAAATATTCATTTTTATTTTCTTCTTTTTAAATTTTCTTCTTAATTCTATTTGAAACTTATTTAGGTATGCTGTGTGAATATAAAAACAAAACCACTTGTTCTCAACCTTAGCTGCACACTTAAATCACTTGGACAGCTTTAAAAAATGCTACTGTTGGGGCTAGAGTTGTGGCTTAGTAGTAGAGTGCTTGTCTGGTATGTGTGAGGCCCTGGGTTTGATCCTTAGCACTGCATATAAATAAATAAAATAACAGATCCATTGACAACTGAAAAGTATTTTTTTAAAACTGCTAATGCTTTGGTCTCACTCCTAGAGGTTTTTTTTTTTTCCCCCTCTTGGGGAACAGGGCAGGTTTCCCAGGGAATGGACTCAGAGGCACTCCACCACTGAGCCACATCCCCAACCCTATTTTTTATTTTATTGAGAGACAGTGTCTCACTGAGTTTTTTAGCAAGGATGGTTTTGAACTTGCAATCCTCCTGCCTCAGCCTCCCCAGTACTGAGATTACAGGCATGTGTCATCAGGCCCAGCCACTCCTGAGGTTTTTATATTTAGAAATCCAGAATTATGGCATTGCCCTTCATTATCTAAAACTGTCTAAACCTAGAAATTCTTTTAAAAATCATTTAAGGATTTTGTATGTTTTTGTTGCTTTTGTGAGTGGATCCTTACCTCATTATTCTCTATCACAAGAGTATGGAAAACATTTTTAAAATTTCATATCCAACTAATTTATTACCTTCCTTTTAGTTCTAAAAGTTTCCTTTAAAAGAGTAACCAATTTTATTTTATATTGCTAATTTATTTTCTCTGCCTTATTGCCTAGGCTAGAACAGCAATCTCAAAACTCTATTATACTCTAAAACACTATTGAGAATCCAAAAGATTTTAGTTTATTTGGATTATACATATAGACATTGACCATATTGGAAATTACAAGTGACAGCTAGGTTCAGTGGCATACACCTATAATTCCAGTGACTTGGAAGGCTGAGGCAGGAGGATTGCAAGTCCTAGACCAGCCTCAGCAACCTTGAGAGGCCCTAAGCAATTTAATGGGCCCCTGTCTCAAAACAAAAAATTAAAAGGGCTGGGCTATAGCTCAGTGATAAAGTGCTCTTGGGTTCAATCCCCACTACCAAAAAAAAAAGAAAGAAAGAAAGGTGAGAAAAATGTAAATGTTATTTAATCAATTAAGAAATTAATAGCAATAAAAATTCTACAACATTTTAATAAACATTAAGTATATTTTCAAAAACAAAAACTTTATAACCAGTGTGATATTATTTTGTGGCATTATTTTATTCTTTTGCATACCTTTATACTTTATACTTTTGCATAATTACCCATCTGTATTACTATATTAAATCTCATTTGTTGCTCTGGTTGAGGTATATGAAAAAAAGGTTGTATACACATACATAGTTGGAAAGGAAAATAATATTTTAATAGCCTTTTTAGGTAATTCTGGACATTCTTTGCTACCACATCAAAATTTCAATATTCAACATTTACATAAAGGAGCTGGAG